TGGCAAAAATTTTGACTTATTTTTTCCTTTTTATCGGTTTTTTCGCGGTTTTGACCGTTTTTTCACCATTTGACCGTTTTTTCACCATGAAACTATTGGGTAAAAAAACGGCCAAAACCGCGAAAAATCGATAAAAAGGAAAAAAATAAGACAAAAATTTTGCGAGAATATTCATTGTTGGGTTACGGTAGCACTCGTTTGCCGGCTGTGTTTTCGAAAATTCTCCTTGAAATACGGTGGCCTAACTTGTGTGAAAATTCGGCCACAACTACAATTTTCTTGCACAAGAATAATATACCACCTTTAACATGCTAAGGTTACTGTAGTTCAAAATTTTTCATCAGTTTTTCTCAATTTCGCACTATTTATTTCGAAACAGAAAATTTACAGAATATATCGTCGCCATCAGAATGTCGTTCGACAAAGGAAAAAAGTTCGTTATCAAGCATGTTTTCGAAAATGTGAAAAGTCTTACATCTGACGAATTCGCGAATGGGACCGTCGAGAAGCATTTCGATGCATTTTGGTAAACAATTATCGATTTCGTGAGTAAAAAATCGTTTTAAAAGGTTTCAGGAAAATTCGACTATTCAAACATAACAATGGCGATATAACTCCATCTTTATTTTGTGATAGCTTTGAGACTGGCCATTGGTCAATTAGCACAACGTGCGATGTACTTGTTAACGGAAAACCATTCAAAACTGGACTGAAATTCGAGTTCGGAGAAAATAGTACCAATTTGAATTACTGGTACATTTTCAAAAAGGATTTCCACAAATATAGAATCAAGGACAGTGCCAGAGTTGAATTCCATGTGAAAATCGATAAAATGGTTGGATCGTTTCGGAGTTTCGATGATGACGTGTCAAAAGATTCATCTGATGTCGTTTTAGTCGTCGAAGATCAAAAATTCTATGTTTGCAAAACGTATTTATCCTACCACTCCGCATACTTCAAATCTCTTTTTTCTGAAAATCCCGAAGAATCTGAACAATCGATCATCGAGTTGAAGGATATCGAATTGGTTGACTTTCACATCTTTCTTGGCATTATTTACGGATTTCTAGCTGTCAAAGGTTTTTTTATTAGCAGTAGTATTTTTTTGAAATATGCGAATTTTGCAGGCTCAAATGTTCAAAATCTGCTGAAACTGGCCGACTTCTTCGCTGCTAAAATTGTCATGGAGAGATGTGAAATGTTTTTGATGTCAACCTCTTCAAAAAATGACGTCGTTGAAAAATTTCAATTGTCGCTCAAATATAAAATGGATAATTTGAAGAACAAGTGTCTGTCGGAAATGAACAAGAAAACCGATTTTGTTGGATTGGCACCTGAAAATTCGGACGATTACAGCACCGAAACTTGGAAGCAGCTCTATTTGAAAGCTGCTAATTTTATCAAATAACTTGAATTTGGTTTTTTTTCGTTTTTTGTTTCAATAAAGTTCCGTTTACAATGTTGAGAGTTGCCTAACGCTCACTATTATTCTGGTACAATAAAAATCGGAGCTGTGAAAGGGGAACACTGGTGGCCGTAGCCGAAAGCCCCACGACGACAACTACCGTACCCTAAAACACTTTACTGTCCTTAAAGGGGGAATCCGACCAAAAATTTTTTTTGTATTAAAATGTTTCAAAAGTTATCTATTTTACGAATATTATTGCGAAAAAATTCGAGAAATCCGAAATCCCCGAAAAACGCCGTTGAAAGTGAAAAAAATTCAAAAAAGGTGCCGCCGAGGGACGAGGA